CTCGAGCTCGGCTCCTTTATCAAACTAGTCGAGTCGAACTCGAGCCTTACCGAATTGAGCCCGACTCGTTTAATTTGACAGCACTACCGATAACATAGTTCAGTTCGACTTGTGAAAGGTCGAAAACGACTCACTTGTATATTTAAACGAGCTAATGTTAAACAACTAATCGGATTTTTCTTTCAAACAAGTATCGGTTAGAATTTTTATTTTTGGTTTAGATTTCAAAGTTTATTACACGAGTCAAACCAAGTTTAAACGATCCGAACTCGGGCTCACATTTTTGTTTGTTTATTAAACGAGTTGAGTCATGGAAACTCGTTTATTAAATGTGCACGAGTTTAAACATGAAGTACTTGACTTGAATAATCTAACTAGACACATATAAGATATAAAAGTATGAAAATAATATTGAAGTATTAATATAAATTACATGAATCACGCATTAAATACTATTAAACTATAGATGTTGTATTTATATAATAAAAATAATATATGGACCGGCTAAAAAAGTTTGTGAATTATTAACTACACTTTAATACATACTAGTAAAGTGCACGTGCGATGCACGTGGTGTCGAATGATATTCGCGGAGTAAGTTTGCAAAATAAATTAATTAATTTAATAAACCTATCATTGCAAAAGTAAAGTAAAATATAAAAAAAAAAAGAACTCATATGTGATTTTTTATTTATTTAGAATTAACGTAATGATGTCCTCATATAAAAAGAGTGAAATAACGTTTTACAACCCCGAACAAAAATATATATAAAAAACAAATCTCTCATAAAAAAATACAAAGATTTTCTTTCATTGTGGTTTTGACCAGTGTTCGCCTAAACGGCCGTTTAGACCGTTTACACGCTGTTTAAACGGTAAACGACGCTATGGTGTGCAGTTTAGCGGATAAACGGTAATTAAACGGGCTAGCCGTGTAGACGGAAAAAAACCGTGTAAAATGTGTAAACGGGACGGTATTAAACGGTATTAAACGGCCTAAACGGCCGTTTAGGCCGTTTACACGGTCCGTTTTGGAAATAGAAGCGGTTGGGCGGGAGAACAAAAAATTGATCCGTTTTGTGAGAACTATATATGCGTGCAGTGTGTTACTAACTGTTGTGTTGTAAGATGAACACCTGTGATGTTGACTGTTGTGATGTTATCTGCAATTTGCGTATGGGCTATGGCTATGTCATTGACTCATAAGTCATAATATTAATACTAATGTAGTTAAAAACGTGTAATCCGTTTAATCCCGTGTACACGCCGTGTACACCGTCTAAACACTACACGTGCCCTCGCCGACTGTTTACCGTTTAGCGTTTAGGCTAACACTGGTTTTGACGTTCTTGTAAGAACATTCATAGTCGTTGGAGTCTAATACATCAATAATATTGCAAAATTTCTCTTAATTAATTTGGCAAAACGCCAATTTTATTCAAACCCTTAAGAAACATTCTGACCCAACATATTTCATGACTGCATGTTCTTTATAACAAGGTACTTCTACTAACAAAGGATAAATATCTCTATGAAATAACTAACGGTGTCACTAAAATTGCTGATATTTTTTTTATTACTGTATAAACTACTAATTCCTCTTAATTAATTTTACATTCCTCTGTCTCTAGATATATTGGTGTCTATCCTATTGATACATTGCCCCACGAGGTGGGAATAAATTTTATCTCCAAATAAAAGTTGACCTTCCAAAATCTGGTTACATGTACTTCTCCCTAGGTGCTAAAGTATTTTTTGAAATCACCATACATTACCTGAAAGTACCTCTAAAGTAATTGCACATATGTTCAAGCGCAATACACCAATGAGATTATAAATATTTCTATAAGAAATGACAACCTCATTCTAACATTCAAAACTGTTTTGATACTCATACATTTCATTTTCAGTGTTATTTATTTAGAATATAGACGAACAATATAATCTATTTTTTTGCAATGATAAAACAAAACAAACAAAACAATGAGAAAATATTGAGAAGCATATCATTTGTTAAAATATTTGACAGCAGGAGAATTAGAATTTCATTATAGGACGATACTTTTAGTCATCTGTAAAGTTTATTATTATGGAGTCATGATTAAAATACATCATGTATACAAATTTTTGGATTTTTTAATTATTTAAAATTGAAAATAAATAATATATGATCATTATTTATGAGAACCAATTTCTTACAGAGTCCATATATTTAAACGCTAGCAACAAAAAAGTAGTAATTTTAAAAGACTTTTTGTATGTAAATATTGGTATTCATACTTTTCTAAGAAAATTAACACGTTTTCTTTTTCTCATTGCATTATTATTATATTATTTGTTTCTTATTCTATAGACAAATAATATTTTATTTGCTAAGTAATTAAAGCACATTTATACGTATTACGATATTTTTTGTATGTGTTTTATATAATGACGTTATCAAATTATCTTATTTATTAGGTTAATATAATCATATAAGATTAAATGTAATGTAATATATTCGATAAAACTGTACTTTTTATACGAATTAATAGATTAAAAAATTTAGAATTTTGTCCAATGTTTGATAAAATATTAATTAACTAAGTCATTTTCATAATCACTGAATACATATATGGTACCACCATTATAGGGTTCCTTTTCCAGCAGTAATTGACTTCACATAGCTAATGTTATTTCATTTCTTTTCTCTGACATAGTATTTCCTTTTATCTATGACTTTACGTTGCTTCGCTTCGTTTGTACCCTAAGGTGCATTTGCCATAGTTTCAGCATTACGACAAACTCGTGCCAAACATATATCGGATTTGTGCGCTCTAGCCAAAACGTGGGAATAGTTAGAAGTTTACACCCATTTTATATATTTTTTTTTTAAAAATATTAATTGTTTCAAATTTATGTATGAAAACATACCACAAGTTTATCTTATGTTATTTTATACTTAATAAAATTGATTTAACATGAATATAAAATTTATTACATTATATATTTTAACACCCATTTATTATTTTAAATTAGTACTGATATATATATATATATATATTATTTTATATCAATATAAATAATTATATTATTTTTATGTTATTGCAATATATGGGTCAACTCATACATCATTGAAAATAAATGATGTGATATATTACATATAAAAAGGTAACAAATAAAAAATATGAAGTATTTTAAAATTATAAAATTTAATGATAGAAAGTAATAAAAATCTTAACCAAAAAATTTTAAGATTAATATACCCAC